TAATATTTTTAGTTGATTTGAATTAATGTATTTGATGTATCATATGTACTTAATATTTTTAGTTGATTTGAATTAATGTATTTGATGTATCATATGTACTTAATATTTTTAGTTGATTTGAATTAATGTATTTGATGTATCATATGTACTTAATATTTTTAGTTGATTTGAATTAATGTATTTGATGTATCATATGTACTTAATATTTTTAGTTGATTTGAATTAATGTATTTGATGTATCATATGTACTTAATATTTTTAGTTGATTTGAATTAATGTATTTGATGTATCATATGTACTTAATATTTTTAGTTGATTTGAATTAATGTATTTGATGTATCATATGTACTTAATATTTTTAGTTGATTTGAATTAATGTATTTGATGTATCATATGTACTTAATATTTTTAGTTGATTTGAATTAATGTATTTGATGTATCATATGTACTTAATATTTTTAGTTGATTTGAATTAATGTATTTGATGTATCATATGTACTTAATATTTTTAGTTGATTTGAATTAATGTATTTGATGTTTGTGGAGATTGGAAAATCTTTTAATATTATCTTTCTTATCGGATCATGATATGTTGTTGTTAGTATCAAATTCAGAATTTAGAATCAATGAATTATGTTGTTAATAAGTAGTTTCTGTTGTGTCTGTAACTAAATTGGTCACTCAATTGTATCATGTACGAAATTAAATCCTTTTGTAGTTGATTTGAATTAATATATTTGATGTTTGTGGGGATTGGAAAACCTCTCAAGATTATCTTTCTTATTGACTCATGAGGTATTGTTTTTTATGTTTTCTCATCTGGTGTTTGATATTCATATTAGAGATTAATTAAATTTAAATTTGCACCAGAAAGTTCCACATTGATAGGTAAAGTGTTTCCTAACAAAGGTGGTTCCGTACTCAATAGGACTCGAACCCGAGACCTCTGGTTAATGATGGATGAATACTTGCTACTTCACCACGAAATAACCTGCAGCCGCTACAATCTCTGTCACCGCTTCTGCCCTTCGAGTAAGCACTCTGTGGTTAATACTTTATGCACATTGGGTAAAGCCCCACTATGTAATAGACTACAAACCACGATGAGAATTGAAAAACCTTTCAACAATTTTTTTTTATCGAATCATAAGGCGTGGTTGTTACTTGTTAATATTAAATTCAAAATTTAGAATCAGTGAATTCGGTTGTTTGTATGTAATTGGCCACTCAATTGTAGCATGTACGAAATCAAATGCTTTTTATAGTTTATTTGAATTAATGTATTTGATGTTTGTAGGGATTGGCAAACCTTTCAAGATTATCTTTCTTATGGTATTAATTAATTAAGACAAATAAGTCAGGTCTCTATTAATATTTCTAAAATTGGTCTCACATCAATTCTTGGTTCCTCTTCCTTTAATGTCTCGATTTCTGAGTTTTTATAATGATATTTTTTTTCTAATTAGGGTTGATTTTTTCCTTAGTTGAGAAAGGCATCTAAAGCAAATTTGGTAACATGGGACTATATTTGTCTTTGTAATAAATACTCCATGAAGGTTATTTTCATACAGGACAATCACATAATTTTTTTCTTAAAAATGTTCAAAGACATGCAAGAAAAAAATGGACGATAAAAATTTAACTTTCTGTTTGGATGGTTTATGTATTGTATTGTATTGTTTTGATGAATATAATAATTTATTATTTAGTTTCTAATTTATTTTTATTATTTATAATATCGTCTCCTAAAGTGTTCAATTTATATATATTCAAAAGGTGATGATAAAATTGTCATTTTATTTGTTGGTTCTTAACACTTTGTTTGGATGGTTGTTACATATTGTTTCATAATGTATCGTATTGTATTGTATCGTGTTGTGTTGTGTTGTATTGTATCGTATCGTATGATATTGTTTTAATGAATACAATGTTTGGATAGATTGTATTGTTCTTTGTTGTTACATAGTGTCACCCATCCAAAATTTGAATGATAAGCATACAAGAAAACTATGGTATGAGGTAGAGCTACTATAAAAGAGTAGGGTAAAGGATAAAATATAATTATTAAATAATAAATAAAGATAAAATAGGAAGAAAATATTAAAACAATGACGCGATCACACCAAATCGGTCGTTATACAAAATGTGTCTTTTCATTGTTACCTAACGATGAATTTAAACGATACGATTTAGTAAAATTTAAGTAACAATCAAAACGAACATTGTACTCAAACCAACAATACAGTACAATGCAAAAGGTAACAACCACTCAAACAAGGTGTAAGAGTTATGCCAAGTCAATATTGAATGAGTAAAAATGAACGAAAGAAGTAATATATAATTAAATACAAAATGAGAAGAAAAAAATGCAATCACACCAAATTAATTATTGCATAAATGATTCGTTATTATGATGATGGATTTAACAATACGATACAATTGGTAACAACCATCCAAACAAGTTGTACTCACATTGGTTCGTACACCACACCATATTAGTTTATTAGAGACTTGAATATATGAATGGTCACATATTTGGTCAATTTTTATTTTTTGAAAGTGTGGTGTTTGACTAAACTTTTGAGGGAAAATACGTATTTTTGGAAAGTAGCAAAAATTGTTTTTTTTAAAGCTAAAAAAATAGTTTTTCCCTAAAGATACTTTTGAGAAAAATATACTGAATTTTTTTTTTTGAAAATTTGATCAAACACTAATTATTGGTCAAAAGTGTTTTTAAAATACATTGGTCAAACACAAATTATTTTTCATCAAAAATACTTTTCTGAAAAGTACTTTTTTGAAAAAGAAAACACTTTCCGAAATAACCAGATTTAAAAACTTGACCAAACAAATATTTTTGTAATTGGTCATCAAAGTCACTCATTTTGTTTTTGTCTATTTAATTTGTATAGTCACCCAACTTAGCTTATATGGTCATTTTAGCCTAAATTTTTTAATACCTATTTAATGAAACGACAACTCTAATTTATTAAGAAAATTTATAATCGTTGTTTCTAACCATCATATAATAAGTTGACTATAAAAGAAAAGCCCTTAATTACATTTAACTATAAGAATATGATGGTTCTTCAATTTCTAACATTTTAAACATTAGAATTGTCCGCAATAATATTTAACCATCATATTTTTTTGGTTGAATGTTTTATAAGATGTATCTCTAATATAGTCAAACTATCTGGATCGAGTTAAAAATTAAGTCATATTTAGAATAAATTGATCCTAAATAAATCTAAACACTAATTCTAAGTAAAATTGAATGATTTTGATAATTAACTAATTTTTAAAACACAAAACAAAATAAGTGACTTTGATAATCAATTATTATACTACAATAGTCTGTGTAATGGACAGGTGTTTGAGATGGTGATTTGCCAAAAAAAAAAATATAACTGAAGTTGGTTGAAAAATGGGGTCTTTATACCACTTTCAAAAATTGTTAATTAAGTCTTATAATTAGAGGGGTAATTATATATCATCCGTTAATAAAATAATCTATGTTTTGTTTAGTTTTTTATTTTAATGTATTTATCTTTTTTTCTTTTGTTTAAAGAAATAGTATCTCTTTCTTTTTTTCTTTTTCTTTTTTATAAATTTTAAATCTTAATTTCTTACTTGACATATTTTTTAAATCATAAAATTCAATAATATATTTTCTCTAGTCTATATTGAGTGAATTGTTGAGATACACCATATTTCTTAAGAAAAGTAAATTGGGGCATAAATAAATAAAAAATACTTTTCATTATTATTCTCTTGAATATTTCTCAATTAATCTCTTAGAAAATATAAAATAGTTAAAAGTTTCATTAAATAAAAGGTTAAGCATAACAAAAAGTTTTAGTTATAATATGGACAATAGGGTAAAGGGAGTACTTTAGCTAATTAAATTTCATATATATATATATATATATATATATATATATATAAATCGCACTCTT